TTCATTAATAGACGCGAAATTTGATATTTCTTTTATGGGACAATTAACGCGGATAAAACAAGATCGAGGAAGAATCACAATCCGGTGCACGTATTTTACGTGTTTTCGGCGGGGTGTTACATGAATATTCAATCGGAAATAGATTAAAAGTATTACGTGCGTATATAGATAATTGATGAAGGAAACCGGTATATCCACACACGATAAGAGAATTGTTGTTTTATCGGGCTCGATGCCGCAAAATCTCATTAACTCGTTCATTCATTTACCAATCGAAGTACGGTTAATTGAAATTGCACACGGTTTATGAATCAAATTGTTCTTCTTATTGGAGAAAGGTTGCACACAGTTGAAATCTACAACGTGCGTGCGTAAATTACATAAGAGAGAGAGAGAGAGAGAGCGTTTTAAAAATTTATCTCCTTCCGAGTTAATTAAACGCGATCTCTTGAGAGCGCGGCTTATCAATGAATATATGGAGGATTTCAGAAGCCAATCAGCGTAGATCACACTCCCTGCCTTATGCAACAATCTCTATATTATTCAAACTTTTAACGAACTCGCTAAACTAAAACTAGGTGAAGTACTTAATTATAGTTAACAGTGGTTCGTCAACCGAAACTTCACTTTCGGCTAATGCGATTTGTACACACTGATTACCCTCCTTCCTTCCTCTTTCCTCTTAAAATCTACATCATTATTACTTACGCATTGACGTAACGTAAACAAATAAATAAATAAATAATTTCTTTTGCAATTTTTGAACGAATAAATTTTTAATCGATAGCCGCGCAAATATCATCGACACGACAAATACACGAAGCGAAACGAAATACGCGTGTACGCAATTTCACGAGCATAAGTGGAAGATCTCTGTACGCAAATTGACGCGCGCACATACACGGCCGAATATCATCGCGGGCATCGTCTTAACGGGTATAAAGCGATATGAAGTGACACGTGTGCAACGTGCTCTCTAACGATGGACACGTTATCAGGTGAACGTTCCACGATCGATCCTATCAACTATCAAACTCCATTAACTCGTACGTTCACGTTGCCAATACTACTTGTGTGTTCACCAAGTGTCGGTCAACTTTGCTACGTGAACGTCGTCACAGCAATTAAGACACTTTGCTATAATCGAAACCAGCCAGTCTATCTAGAGTCTAGATTCTGGATAATTCGATATCCTTTTCTTTCTTTTTTTTTTTTAATTATCGAATCAGAGCGCGGAATAATAGGAAGGAAAGTTCGAAATATAAGGAAAGTCTCTAAAGTATTATACTTTGTTTCTGTGAAATTTCGTGGGGAATCGTTATTGTTAGCAAATTCTTGTTGCAGAAGAAGCTCGTATTTTGCAAATATAAATGGAAAGAAAGAAGTTTAAACGTCGAATTTTGTTTATATGAAATACGTGTAACGTTCGATGTATATACATTGAATTTTTCTACTTCGTATAAATAATTTATAAAACGCTTGGAATTTTTTTTTTCCCCAATCTTTCTATTTCTTTTCTTCTTTCCCTTTTCCAAGACGGAAGAAAAGTAACATTTTATCTTCTATACGTAAAATGGCATTTCTCATCCGAGTGTTAATCATTAAATTTAATTTTAAAAAAGCAAAAAATAATATCGGCCAGATAAAAGATGACGAAAATTGTCACGTTGAAGGGATATCACAATTTTTAACTCGAAGCTATTGGAATGATGTCTTGAAAATCGATATAATCGCGGTAATTCTTTTTTTTTTTTTTTTCTATAGAAAGACGCGATGAATATTATCCTTTTGTTCAGGATTCACAGAGCCACGCCCAGGCAGGAAGTTCTCAGATCGATATCACCTATGTGTACTGTTCATGAGTGGCGTATCCATAATCTTTTTAACAGCTCGTAAAACGTGAAGATTTCATTTGCTGGAAAAATGAATCCTCCACTCGATTCCTTAACAAACCTTTTAACTCTTTTAACTCCACGAATACGGATAAAATCTCTTTAGTTTAGGACGATACACCATTGGTAACCGTGATGTGAATAGAAAAAAAAAAAAATTAAAATATCGAAAAATATTTGTTCATTGTAAAAGATGGCGAACAATAAATTTCTTTTTAAATTTTTCATTTGTTATAAAGTAGTTGTTTATTCTTATATAAATAATTCTTTCTAATTGAAAGGGCAATAGATTTCGAACTAACATTCACAAGAATTGGATTATGGATTTATTATAATTCTCATTCATAGAATGAAATAATCATTTAATAGGAGATGGAAAACTCGATTTATGCTCCAATCGTTCTTCGTTTTCCTCCATGCTTTAAAATAGCTAACTCGAGATGTATAACCGAATATTATTCGACAAAAAAAAAAAAGAAAAGAAAAAAATCCGCACCAGACTAATTGATTTGAATATCTGCGTACGTCAGCGCTCGAGGCGAAATATTTATGAACGAACGTTTCGAACGATTTAAATGGTCGATAGACTTTAAAAAGAATTAAAATCGAAGAATATTCGATAAAACGTTTTCTTCCTTTTCTTCTTATTTTTCCATCTCGATTCTTTATATCGCAAATTAACGATTAATTTTTAATTCTTAACCAAACAACGATGCTCTATCTTTCAAGAAATGGTTCCGATTGTATACAAGGCAATTCCCGCGGGAATTTTCACTTTAATGATTGGTTTCAAATTCGTTTGGAAAGGAACGCGTTACTTAAATTTTGTAAAACTGTCTGGTTGTTCAAAAATATTTTGAAAGCAAAAGTTTGAAAGCTTCGAGCGAGGTTAGTTCGTTAACACGAGTTCTATTTTTACGAATCTCTTTTGTACCAAAGGAGAAGTTCAGCCAAACTTAATTAGTCTTTTGTATAATGTTAGGGGCGTCAAAGTGGAAACGTGAAACGTCGAGAAGCCTCTCTTTGATGAATGAATGAAAGCCGAGTAAACGTTTTACGTATGTATCACTAGGGCTAGATTCCTTTATGCCATTCCATTCTTCTTCCTTTCTTTTTTCTTTTTTCTTTTTCGCCTAATGAAACATTATATTTATCTTTCCTCGGTTTACGAACACTGATTCTTTGTTAAATCATCTCAAAGCGACATTAAATGAAACGAGCGCCGCGTAAATGGTTTTCCAGTAATTTGAAGTGAAATTATGGGAGATAATTGAGGGAATGAACAATGAAATTATCGCGTGAATTTATCTCGGGGAAAATGGATGAATTTTGATTGAAATCTCTTCGATTCGTTATATTCGAAACGTTGTTATAAAAATATAAGGAAAAGTGTTCTTCTTTCTTCCAATCAGGTGGATAATTCGTCTATTTTTTTTCGCAAAATTTACCTTTTATACGATATTATTTCGAACATAAATAAATTTCTTAAACGGAAAAAATAAAAAAATTTCCGATTTTCGAAAGTTCAGATTTCAGTGTGCTTTAAATTCGCGAAAATTACGTTGAAACCGAGAAAAATCGTTGCAACTCGAATTTAACTCGTTTAACATAAGTTTATCATAAAAAGTTGGGGCACGAGAGCATAAATCATTTACTCGATTTAAACACACTGAATTATGGACATCGAAACTATTTTTACACAACTTTGTTACAATTTGTTATGTCCTTCTCGGAAAAATTGCCAATGCGAAAATGAAGATAAATTTTGAGAGGAGGAGAGGATGAATTTTTATCCATCTCTGTTACACGCATCTCCACACGTTCGAAAGAATGAGACGATGGACAGAGCGTCAAAAAATTTTATACCTCTTTCGAATCTGGCGACCAAGATTTTGGTTGGTGAAAGCACGTCTACACGGTGCAAACACTTGAATTAGATTAGTTTGCTTTCGTGGATACATACGTTGATTGTCTGACAGTTTCGAAGACTACGAGATTTAGTGGATGCTCGCAACTCGTCACGTGTATATATATATATACATATGTATATAAGCTATCTTTTCGACGAGTATTAAACTGCTTATATCAGGTGTAACATTTGCATAAAGTCAAGTAATTTCATCGAATTAAAACGATTTATTAAGGATTATTATTAAAATCGTATCCACGATCTAATTTTAATATTGGAATATTAATTTTTTTTTATAATTTTGGATTACAATAATAGGTCGTAAATATTAATTAGAAAGGTATAATTAGGAGAAATGAAGTTGCGTATTACAAACATTTCGAAACACTCTTTTTTTTTTTTTAAGAGAAATATTCCAGCGGGTATAAAAGACGGGTGAAAATAAGAGGGAAGGATTTTGAAACGGAATTGCAGAGTTACAGAGAAATTTAAAATAAAAATAAAGCGAGATTTTAAAGAGAAGGAACAATGGAGAAGCTAGAGGAAAGAAACAAAAATATAGGATAAAAAAGAACGTAGTAAGAGTATGAACTTATTCGCTTAGAACAAAAGAAATTCTGAATAGCGTAATACAAAAGGATAGGATAAAATCTATTGATTCGTGGAACAGCAAAATGTTGTTGCTCTAATTAAACAGTCAAATATCAAAAATATTTACATAATTAAAATAAGAAAGAAATATTTGTTGATCATTATGCGATAACCATGTTTATTATATTATTTTATCTTTTATGTTTTATTAATAAATGCTGAAAGCAATTATTGGAATATGTATAAACTTTATGAACGAATATAATATAAACTGACGTATCGATATGAATATGAAAATCGAAAATGGAAAATTTATTTAAAATTTTAGAGGGTAGGGGAGAGGGGAAGATCATATAAATGTGTAAATTTTTGAAACGATGAGACACGAAGAGATTTTCGTTGTTCAAATACTTTCAAGTAATAAATTTTTTTCTAAAATATAGTATATAAAATTATAATAATTACGTTATGTATTTTCACGTTTCCCTCCGTATTCGAAATAAATAACGATAGATTATGGTCTATCGAGAAGTTTTCCAAACATAGGGAACAGATTTTTCTCATAAGCGGAGCAAAATATTATTTTTAAACAAAAAAATTTTACTCACCCTCTTAAACTTAATACGGATGACATTAACGGTACACCCTCGCCATGCTTCCTACACTTTTGACGAGAACTTCTTCTATCCTGCAATAAGAAAAAAAAAAACAAAATTTACTTTACACCACGTAACACCATTTTCATCGTATGATCCGCTTTTCTTAAGTATCATATTTTTCGAAAGCTGCATAATCTTATATATTCTAGGAGAGCAGCCTACAATAATAAACACTCTTTCTTTGCAAAACTTGTAAAACTTCTTCTTCGAATAATTAACATAATTAAACTCGAACAAAATCGATTAAATAAAGATTGAATAAGGAGAACGCTTTACAGAGCAAAAAAAAAAAGAAAAAAATTAAATTTCAAGTCCTCTTTCTAATAAAACCTTTATTATTAATAATATTTTTCACAGAGATAAATGAATAATTTATCTTAAAGCTCGATTAAATCGTATTAAAATTATCAAAACTTTAAACCGTCATAACTTCGAAGATAACGATTTTTCACGGATGGATGAAAGATCGTTAGAAGCACGAATTCTTCCCCTTTAAAACGCTTTTTGATTTATCTCGATACGATTTCCGGTTCCCGAGATATCGTCGTGTAAAGGAAAACGTAATTTTTAATCGTTCGTTATATCTCCGTCCTTGTTCGGACCTCTCGCTCGCATCTCGTCTCACTGACCTATCCCAAACTGCAGACAAGTGGCGGACGCGATTCCTGGAAGAACATTAATATACGATTCCTAGAAAAAGAACGTAATACGTATTTCCAAGAAAAATGCAGGTCAATAGCCCATTCATAATTTCCTCACTGTGCTTATGAAAACTTTGAATCTTTATATCTCTGAAACCAATCGAGATATCGAGATAATTCGAAAAACGACTTCAACGCCACGATTTTCTCTACGTTATTTTGACTCGGTTTCGACGACAAAATTTTTACTTTCTTCTCGCGTCTTTTTTTTTTTACGACGAAAAATTAAAGCTTCGTTTGTATCTTCGTGAGATTACGTTCCTTAAGCAAGGTGTAATTTTCTAGTTTTATTTTCGTACTTTTCACGAGTAATTTTAAAATATATAAGGTACAATAGCGGAGAAATTACATTTGAAACTAAAAGAGAGAGAGAGAGAGAGAGAGAATAAAAGGAGTAGGAGAGATATAATAGCTATTATAATTTTACTGGTTTTGTTTCAAAGCCGCTGCTATTAGTAAGTAAACGATATCGGTTAATAAGATCTTCATAAAAACGATGAAATAAACGGGAATCGAATTTTTCTACCTTGAACTTTTTTTCCCTGAATAGCGCGATGTCTGTGTTGCAGATTGTCCAAGTGGGAACAGAAATTGCTTATTAAAGAGAGAAATTCAATGGACGAAGGAATTAAAAAACGACTACAATGATCGTTCAATACTCATAATGAGAAAATCTATAGAATACAAAACTTGTGAACCTTCCAATTAAAATGGAAAAATTGCCATTCCTGAAAATATTTTTAAATATTATTTTTAAATAAATACTCCATTGTTATTTAATTTATTTAAATCTATAATGAAATTCTTCTATACTTTTGTATAATATTAATAAGAAAGATGAACCATTAATTTTTATCGTAATCATCTTATCCCGAACACTCCCACTTCCCTAACTTTGTTGCAGAGACCTAAACTATCAAAGCCTTTGAACTTCCAAGTAAACAAATAGTTACGAGACATGCAAATCGCCACATTCCATATCCCCCCCCAAAGTTTCTCTACGAATACAAGAAAAAAACTTTTCCACGCAATTGATACATTTTTTCCCCCGAGATTAATGATCCTAAATATCTCGAAAATTCTATTCCTTCCATCTTGTCGATGAATTTAATTTAATCACGAGCGTGTTAAATTGATCGATCAAACACGAAATAAGGAACAAGATGCTCAGTCATCGTTACCCAAAAAATGAATTATTAATCAAATTACATATTCCCTTTACGATTTCTATCAGGGGGGGGGAGTTTACACCGTGAGCTTCGAGAGCTTACGTTCGAGGAGGATAGAAATTCTTTTCTTAATTTTAAAAGCATTGGTGCAATGATAGATTAAAAGATTCGGGCGAAGAAATTTTAAACTGATAAATCATCGATAAAAGCAATCGCATATTAAAAAATAAAAGAAAAGATATTTCGATTCTTTTCCTTTGTTCCCTTCTCTTTTTGTTTCCCGTTGCATATGGGTGAGAAAGGAAATAGAATTGCAGATTCAACGATAAATCCTGTTAGCACTCGCGAAAAAAATTCTATTCTACAAAAACGCTTTATCGGAATAATAGAATTGAATTATGAAAGTAGTAAGAAAATTTAAATCGTTATTACAATGTTGGATTTAATAAATGAATATTAAAAAGAAACGAGTAAACGAGTTAATTTTAGAAATATCAACTCAACACATATCTATATCTAATAATCGTTAAAGGAAACGTAAGTATTTGCGATACGCGATATTGAAGATTCCATTATTGAAGATATTTCAGTGAAATATTCTAAATACGCAGTTAAAGAGCGCGACACGCAACAATCTTATTTAAAAAAGTTCATTGAATTTATTCCAAATTTCTTTTTTTTCGGGAGTAAATCGTATATTTACTTATAAAAAAATATACACGAATATGAAAGTATATAGAGTAATAACAAAAAAAAAAGAAAAAGTATCAAATTTACGTTGCAAATAAAACTACGTACGTAATAATTATTCTGGAATGTGTCGCGAGATGAGGAAAAAAAAAAAAAAAGAAAAAAACGGTTATTCGTCTTAAAATGTTTTATGTATACGTTTTGCACGAAGCACGAGTGTGAATATTTTTTGAAAGAAAGAAGTCGGCCAACAGTGAAATTATTCCGTACATTTCTATCCGAATCCCATCGGATACCTCGCACAGGGGTACATAAATATTTCTCGTGTAGTTCACGGGGTTAAACTCGAACTTTGGTAGGCGAGGGTGTTTCTAATCGATCTGATACTTAAGTGGGTATTTTCAACGAATAAAAATAGAATTTGGTGAAGACGACGCTTTTAATTTCCACGTTAACGTTAGGAATTTTTCTTTTTTTCTTTTTTTTTTTTTTTTATTAAATAGCGAATAGATTGATGAAAAATTAAAGAAAACATCTTTTTTTAATTGTTAAATAACGTTGTAAAAAAATTATAAAATAGGGAATAATAATCGTAGAAAATGTACGGTTATTACAATGAATTTAATTAAATGCTAAAAAGCAGAGGTCGCTGCATCATATTTGACAGGATCCCAACTCGGTTATGTCGAACATTTATGACACGATTTTGTTACGCATTCACTTCAAAGATCTCTCAGTCAATCTGTAATTATGAGAATAACGTGCAGAATTTAATGGCAAGAATATATGAAAACAATTTTGCATAATTCCTTTGTATAAATTGTATTTCAAACAATGTTCAACGAGAATTTCTCTGTAACAGGTAGGGCATACGCATGATTTTCATAGCATGAAAGTCATAGAAATTTATCGATTCGATTAAAATATATATATATAAGGCAGACATATATATATTATCCGTTTTATTGCAAATAATTTTCTCTTACGAGCATCTTTTTTCGAGCACCATGCACCCCTTTGTACATTTTATATCCAATTTATATTTCATTTCGAGCAACCGAGTATGAATTACGTGTCGTAAAGTCGAAATCTTGATTACAAAATTTTATCAATTCTATAACTAATAATTTTAACGTAATTATAACCACATAAATGTTTACAAGTGTTAAGAAAATTTTAACATTCTCTTTCCCTTTTATCGATAATTCGACGATGTTAAAATTTATAAACGAATAATTTATCTTATTCTCCATTAATAGAGAAATCTTATTAACAATTCAGCCGACGACGTGAGCACGACAAAGTTGTGCAAAGTGTTCAACGGAAACACTTTCATATTTCTTTTACCATCCAGAAGAGAGGAAAATTGTTCGGTGGCTTAACAAGATGAAAATTGTATAATCCCATTTAAAACGGTATTGCCATTTCTATTTTTTCCCCGCGCAATTTGATAATAACTAAGGCCTCGCTCGAAAATTAGATCTTTCTCGGACGCACAATTATCATCTTTGTAAATTAATTTTTTCCCCTTCCCCGATTAAACGTAACTTGTGAATTCTTCTACGTTCTTGCGTACGTTCAAATTAATCTCGATCCTCATTTCACGTCCTCTGTTAAACATTCAACGCTTTGCTCCTCCTTTTTCGATTTCAAATCGTTCCAGTTAAAGAATGTAACTCAAACGAGATAAATTTCTTCGTAATTTAGCGAACGTAATTTCTTTCGATAAGACTTTTTCTTAACAATTAAATTATCGCAAAAAAATATTTTTATCGAATACTTTTCACTGAATCCCGGTATAAGTAGCTGATTTTCCAAGAAACGAAGTATTCTTTTTTTTTTTTTTTTTTTTTCTTTCAAATTCTGAAAACTCAGAACGTAATCAAAGCTTGATGATCCATCTAAGCGAGATCCTCGAAGAAATGAAATTGCGTGTAAAAGCGTGTTAAAAGCGGATACCAATACGCGTTTTAATCTACTTCGTAATTGTAAATTAACATTCTCCAACGGTTAACAAGATCGGGTTTTATATTTCCAGCACCGTTTTCTTCGCCGTTTTCTTTTTCCTTTTTTTTTTTTTTTTTTTTTTCGTTCAATCTGCGAGGAATATTGAATTAAGCAAAGTATTCTTCCTGATGCTTTCGATTGTTATTTACTCGGCATATTAATTTTACTCGCCAATTAGGATGAAGTGCACGCTTATATTTTTTAATTAAAGAAATAAATGGGCTTTTAGAGATATCAAATATTAAATTTAAAATATTCAGAGCGATATTTTTCTTCTTGGAAAGGCTAAACATTGAGAAAATCAATAAATAATATATATTGGAAAAGATTCGAAAACGAGATCTACTTTTGCACAAATTCCATATATAAAGCTAGCAGGGCTTTGCAAGCGTTAAACGATTCCTTTCCGAGAAAAAAATTTCCCGATAAACTTATATATCGGAGGGGCTGCACGAGCAGGGT